GGTGTGACTTCTGTTCCGAATGTCACCAAAAACCGGGAAAAAGACAAGCCAGCCTTTCATTTATACCTTGTTCTATGCAGAAAGGGTGATGCTATTGGTTAGGACAGAAAAAAATGATCAACACAAAGCAGGAAGAGGAGTGACGACTTACATAGTGGACCGGCAGCCTGGTTTTCTGTAAATTAAAAAAAAATTTTAAGTTCAGAGTACTAATGTACTTTTATAGTTGACCATTTTTGCCTCAAAGCTCACTGTTTTACAAAGTCCTCAGTTTCTTCTTTTCAGCTGAGCATTCGATTCCTGAGGCTTTTTGTTGTTCTTTTCGCTAAACGGCGCGTTCACCGAGTTCTTTGGGAAGGATGAACCTTGCATTTTGTAGCTTCATCTTCATATAAAGCCACCCCTTTAACAGACACGGGAGAAAACCTCCCATTTCTTCCAGAGAACAGTCTCTCGAGTGCAGTTGCATCCTCCGCCCCAGTCGGGGGGGCAAGGAGGGCCGAGGGGTCCGAGCAGGGAGCTGGCGTGGTTCCTGAGGGGAATTCGGGGCTCTCCGGGCCTGGGGAGGCTTGTAAGCACATGGTGGTCTGTGTGGGCAGCGCTGAAATGAATCTCTGAGTCGCCTTGGCTTAACAGATGGGACCTGGTCTTCTAAAGGAGACCCCCAACCCATTTGCTTATCCGTAGTGAAGACAGACTAGGGCCGAACCCCACACAGCCAGTCAGAGCACGCATTTCTCGTCCAGGGCCTCAGGCCGACTGTCCATCTCTGCTAGCTCTTACTCCTCATACCCCAGGTATCCTGTGCAGTACTTTCTACACCTCCGTCTCTGCTTTTAAAACCTTCCCCACAGGATTCCTACGTCAGGTAATTGCATTCTGGCTTAACTGCAACAGCCTTTATGCAGCCTTCCTGCTCTGGAGACCGTTCCATCCGGGTGGAGAGGCTGCAGCCCCGGGAAGCGTGCCTGAGCGGGCAAAGGGCCGTGGGTCTTACGGTCAAGAGCAGGGGTGCTGGTGCCCCCTCCTCGTCCATGGTGGCTGGGCCTGATGTCTTCAAGTTTTGTCTTTGCATCAAAACTTTCCTGCCCGGATGGAAAATCAGAGAAGCTGCAATGGTAGTAAAATGTGAACTTGAAGGTCTTCATGTGCAATGTCTCTCCACCTTGGAGTCTGATGGCCGGAGGGAACTGAGCAGAGCGGGAGGATGGCCAGCCTTGGGAATCACCTAGTCTCTTCCGGGACAGCTCTGTTGAGACGGGGTAATTAGACTGTACATGCGAAGTGACGGCCCAGCACATCCCATAGCCTCGTAGTTATACGCCAGTTTTTAAAAGAGATATATTGTCATTAGGAATTATTCACACCTGTCCTTTCTGTTTATACAAAAACTGGAGCCAGAACTCATTTTTCAATCACATTAGCTTACACTTCACATCTCCCAGTTTTAAGGTCGTTTCCATTCATTCATTCATTCGTTCATTCTCCATGTGTTTGTTCAACCCTTTGTTACCTAGTACCAGTGGTGGGCGCGGCAAAGCTCTGAGGCGGGGAGTAAATGACTTCACCCCACGGAACGTAGATTCTGTTTTCACCCGTGATGCGTTGTAGCTACTTCTATGAAACAGCTCGAGAAGAGCGCTGAGACGACCGTCCGAAAACGGATCCGGTGACGTCCCGTTGAGAGTTCATCAGTGTGTGATGTCCTTTGTCCTGTCAGGAGGGCCTCTGCCACAGCCAGCAGTGGTTCCGCAGAGCTCGGTGGGCGGCAGGAAGAAAGAGGTCAGGGTTTCGGAGACCAGTGGCCAAGTGGCAGCCGTGGCGCACTGTGGCTTTTGTCCCTGTGTTTTTGGTCGCCGGGCTGGGGCCGGCAGGAAGGCAGACGAAGATTCAGTGTGTGCGGAAACTCAGTGGCTGTGTCAGATTGAGCTTAATGTCTCTGTTTCCTTAAATTTCTCCAGAATCTGGCATTATCTCATTTCTTCGTGGCCAGTGTTGGGGCACTGCTGACGAAAGCGGACATACGAACTTTCCGCTCAGTGCACACCCCCAAAATGGTTTCAACTGTGCTTTTCCTGCGAAGTCAAATTTAGTAGCAAGGCCTTTGTTTTAAGTTGGGGGTGAGGGTGGATCAGGAACACTAGAGATAGAGACTCGCAGAAGGGAAGGGTTGTAGGAACATAACATATAACTAGATTTTTACCCCATTATTTCAGTATGCAAATTGATGCAAATCAAGTGAATAATAGAGCAGGTTGCCATTAAGAATGGCCAGCAAATATTTGTTCTGCTAATGCTCCAGTTAACCTGCTCTGGGTACAGGGAAGAATTACCTTCCTCCAGGTTAGCAAAACGAGGCTTCCCTGCCTTACAGGATCCGTGATGATGGTGACGAGGATGGTGACGAGGATGACAGCTGGCAGCATCGCTGGGCCCTGGGCTGGGGGCAGCCGCTTCCTCTCGGGACCCCTAGCTTAGCGGCCCATGCTGCCCTCTGGCATCTCCCCAAATGTCGCCTGAACGCCATGGAAGATAAAGATACAGGAGGATACTCAGAATGCATGGGTGCTTTGCACTTGGGAAGCAGCTGGTGGAGAGTTAATGTCTCTTTTTAAATAATTTCCCTACAAAGTAAAGTTAAAGAGAAAGAGTTAATGGAGGGAAGTTATCCAAGGGGTAATGAAGACCCCCCAGCACCTTCTAGCAGGTGGAAACAGGCTTTGAAAGGGTGTGTTGGTAGGAGGGGCCTGCACCCCCACGGCGTGGTTCGTGCTCCCACAGCAACCCCGGGACCTTGCCGGCCCTCCCGCTGCAGGAGCAGGGGTCCTATTTAAGTCTCCGAGCACCCCAGCAGTTGCCCGAAGGATGAGATAAGCCACGTTGTTGCCTGCTGTTTCCCTGCCTCCTTCCCTCGTTCCTTTGTCTTCCCTGCTTAAGTTGAAGTGTGACGATTTAAAAACAAAAACAATTACCCACATCAACTCAACAGTGTTACCAGCGAAGAAAACTGAGCCCTTGTCCTTTGTGTGCCTCAGACCTCCTCATCCCAAGAGAACCGGCCAGAGAGTTCGGTGTCGTTCAACCCGTACGAGCCAGACCGAGGGCCGGCCAACGACAGAGGTGAGGACCGCTCCGCCAGCCCCCGTGACGCGGCGGTGCCGGCGGTGAGCGGCCCTGTGGGCTGGCGGCCGGTGGCAGATGCCACGTGCCTGTGAACAGGGGTGCCTGTCGGGGGAAACGGCCTGCACAGCCTCCGCCCCAGTAAACCGGCCGCCCTGACGGTGCTGTTCGGTCCCGCTGCTTCGGAATCCCTCCCCTCTCGCAGTCATCACCAGTATTCCTCACAGCTTCCTTTTCCAAGATTGCGTGCCTGGCAGGGCATCCGTGCCACGAGGAGGTCTCAGCAGGCGGTGCGGTAGTGGGCGACTGGTGGGCACTGGAGGAATGTCCGAGTTGTGGGAATCCGGATTCTGCAAGGCCGGAGAGGGCAGGGTTCAGGCAGACAGCCCCTCGGACTCCGCAGGCCTCCGCTAGACTTACCGGATGATCGCCGCTGGGTGACCTTCTTAGGTTTTCCAGGCGGTTTTTTAATTGGTGAACTTGGCCTGTTTATTACTCCCCAAAACCGCCCCCCAGCTTAGGAGCTTAAAACCACCGTAGTCGTGCAAACCCTCACCGGGCCAGGAACCCGGGCGGGGCTTGGCGGGGCCTCTCC